GTCAGTGTTGTGAACTTTGTGGAACTAATCATGTCTAGTCTCCTTACAACATATTGCATATTTGATGCAGCGTTATCCTTCATTGTTGCCAAGATCAGCTATTCGAGGATACCAAAAGATGTTGCCTTCAGATATTTCATTGTTGTGGTTTCCAGATCTTGATCAAGTTTGCTCTATTGATTTGATGATTGCGGGATGTTCATGATTGTGTCACACATGCTTTGATCATAACGCATGATTTCATGATCCTAGATATGTGATGTCTTGAGAGATGTTACTTACGTCATCTCTTGGTGCATATATGTACTCCATCATACATTTTAGAAAATGTGTTGTTGTTGGATGACACTCATATCCAATTCATGGCGAGTGTTCATGAGATTCTATCATTGATAAGATCGGCCGTATTGTTGAACGCAATCAATGTTGGCTCACGTGCTCATTGTTCACAATTATCGTGGACAAAATTTTTGCCACGGGAAAATATAATGTTATGCGTATGATTCCGTGCATAGTGATTATACATTTTTGTGTACAGTTTTTGAATTTTTTTCCAATATTTTCAAATGGTATGAGTTTCTGGCATGTCACATATGACATTGATGAATCATGTAAATCAGTCTTGAATGACTTTATCCACATTGGCTAGTTTTCCACATCACATGACTATCGTGATGATGAACATGGTCTTGGATGGAATCCTGTGATGCATAAGTTGATGAAGCTCATGCAACGTTGATGAGAGAGAGCGTGCAATGGAATTTATGACTGGTATGATTATGACTTCTCCAATTTTAAAGACGTCATGTTGTTAAGTTTTAGGTCATATTATTGACCTAAATTGTTTGACTTGAATTTTGAGCTTAGGTTTGGCCAAGCAACAACGTTTTTGCGTTGATTTGGTGATTTCTACATCACTTGTTAGCTCATTGCCAACCGGAACGATAATGTCAATGGCGGGGAGCGACAAGGGAAATATTTGTCATCCTTGGAGTTCATAGTACGTCAATAAAGAGCTTGTTAAACTTGCAGTCCTTGGAGGAGTTTTTCACGTGGAGATTAGTTCAAAAGGTGTACGGAGAGAGATACCGGTTATTTGGAGGGTTTGGCATAGCAACCATTGAGAGTGTTGACTCTCTCTAGTGTGACTGTAAAGAAAAAGTGGAAGTCTTTGATTGATATCAAGATCATAGGAGGAGAGAGACGACAGTTGACACAACTCCTAAGCAAGTATTAAAATTTGTTTTGCTTTTAATTTGAAGCAATTGGATCTTTTGATTGGCCTTGATATACAGATTGATGTAGATGATGATACACTAATCTTTTGTTGTACCTAGAAATACAATGATATGGAGAGGGACATGATTTGATATAAAGTGATGAACCTCTTGTAGGTTGGATTGATGGAGCTATTGCATTAAGAATATGCATTCGCCATTGTCATGCATGTCCACAAAGATGTACATGTCAACTATACGGAGCAGCAGATGTGTGAAGATTATCGCCCTATCAATTGCAAGATCAAATTTGATCAATATTGTATGCCTACATCCGAGACAATCTTTGATGTACTAGGCAAGCAAAGGTCTTCAGGATTTTGGATCTACATGCACGGTACAACCAATTTTCAATCCAAGATGTGGACAAGTCCAAGATAGCATTTTGAGGTGCCAACTTGAATGGAAAAAATTTTTTGTACTAATGAAAGTTCTTACCTTTTGGGTTGATAGACAAAATCCTAGCGAGAGTGAATTATGTCACATGCTACATCAATGACATCCTGATGGATAGTGATTCCGTGGAGGAGCATCAGAGTCATTTGCAGGTTATGTTTACAAGCTCATGGTCTACAGTTACACCCTCAAAAATGTAAATTCTTCCGGGAGGAGGTGAAGTTCTTGGATTAATTGATCTATTCAGATGATTCATACGTTAAGCGATCAAAGGTTAACGCCATTGCACGTATTTCTTGTTCTACAAATGTGAATAGAGTTTGAACTTTTATGGAATTGGCGTACTACTATCACATATATGTAAAAAAAACTATGTGCAATAGCAAGGCCGTTGAAAAAGTTATTGAAGTTGAATCAAATGTGACGATGACAAGAGGAGTAGGAGGAAGTTTTATGACAGCTTAACACATGCTTGACGTCCGCTCCTATCTTATGAAGACCTATTAGATGACGACCTTTTTAGTTGCATATTGATTGAAATATGTTGGTACTTGGAGCAGTATTAACTAAACATGATGATGAGGGTAGAGAGTTTGTTGTTGCATATACAAATTGTTCAAAGAATGTAGCGGAGTCCAAAGTTAGTTTAGACGAGAAGGAAAGTTTGATTCTGGTATGGGTTGTGAGACATTTCAGATACTACTTGTTTGGCGCAGAGTTTACTCTAGTTACTAATCAGTAGCCGCTCAAGTGGTTAATAAAGTCTAACAATCTTATATGCAAGCTTGCAGTATGGGCTCTCATATGATTTTTTGATCATGCATAGAACAAAAGGTTCTAACCTTGATGTCTTCTAACCAACTAAAGTCGAGTAGAAATTCATGCATTAGGCAAGAGGATGACACTAGAGCCATGTGGCATGGAAATATTGATCATGAGATGATGTCTGGTTGACATGCTTCTGCCTACTGGTGTTGGTTGGATATGAACTCTAGTTTAGAGAACCATGTGACAACATGCTATAGTGAGGTAGCACATCATCAATTGTGGATATAGTGGGGTATGACTTACTTGATAGAGTACTTAGTCATTTTGGTGAATCAACTTAGGTGTTAACGGATCAAGCTACATAGTTTCAAAGCAAATTTGATGTCTTGTGTGACAAGACATTTATTGATCATTATACCGTGTGAGATCATCCAGATGCATATGGTTGTATTGTGCAAGCGGTGAAGAGGTCATTGTTTTGTGTGACAAGACATTTATTGATCATTATGACAAGACATTTATTGATCATTATACCATGTGAGATCATCCAGTTGCATATGGTTATATTGTGCAAGCGTGTGACAAGACATTTATTGATCATTATACCATGTGAGATCATCCAGATGCATATTATTATATTGTGCAAGCGTGTGACAAGACATTTAATGATCATTATACCATGTGAGATCACCCAGATGCATATGGTTATATTGTGCAAGCGTGTGACAAGACATTTATTGATCATTATACCATGTGATATCATCCAGTTGCATATGGTTATATTGTGCAAGAGTGTGACAAGACATTTATTGATCATTATACCATGTGAGATCATCCCGATGCATATGGTTATGTTGTGCAAGCGTGTGACAAGACATTTATTGATCATTATACCATGTGAGATCATCCATATGCATATGGTTATATTGTGCAAGAGTGTGACAAGACATTTATTGATCATTATACCATGTGAGATCATCCAGATGCATATGGTTATGTTGTGCAAGCGTGTGACAAGACATTTATTGATCATTATACCATGTGAGATTATCCATGTGCATATGGTTATATTGTGCAAGCGGTGAAAAGGTCATTGCGCGTATGACATACAGGCACCTTGTAGATTGAAATATTTCGCAATCATGGTTGATAATGGGTATAGAGGTCATTGCGCGTATGACATCCAGGCACCTTGGAGATTGAAATATTTCGCAATCATGGTTGATAATGGGTATAGAGGTAATTGCGCAGATTGAAATATTTCGCAATCATGGTTGATAATGGGTATAGAGGTCATTGCGCGTATTACATACAGAAAGGCACCTTGGAGATTGAAATATTTCGCAATCATGGATGATAATGGGTATAGAGGTCATTGCGCAAGTATGACATCCAGGCACCTTGGAGATTGAAATATTTCGCAATCATGGTTGATAATGGGTATAGAGGTCATTGCGCGTATTACATACAGAAAGGCACCTTGGAGATTGAAATATTTCGCAATCATGGATGATAATGGGTATAGAGGTCATTGCGCAAGTATGGCATACAGAAAAGGCACCTTGGAGACTGAAATATTTCGCAATCATGGATGATAATGGGTATAGAGGTCATTGCGCAAGTATGGCATACAGAAAAGGCACCTTGGAGACTGAAATATTTTGCAATTATGATTGATAATGGGTGTAAATTAATTCGCCAAGCATCCTTGGGTTACTTCTCACCGTGTTTACTATTATATGACCCTAATTCAGATTTGCCTACATTCATTTGTCAACTATCTGATCAATCTTGATGATCTGAAGATGTGGAGGGTCCTCTGAAACAACTCTATGAGTTGAGTCATTTCAGAGGATGATGTCAGCAACGTTTGAGAACCTTGCCATCGCACAACATAGAGATATCTATGTTGCGAGAGTATTTGAGTGATCCGACGCAGGCTTGTTCATTGTTTTCATTGTCTCATTCTTATAAATCAGACATCTGAGAGAAGTGAAGCAAGCACACAACAAAACTTATAGCTTGCTGTCAATGAGTCTGTCTAGTCCCAATACCCCAAGATAGATCGATAGAAGGGTTATGTATCTGATCTCCCCTCTCCTTCACGGCGGATTGTCTTTCCCTTCACTCAGGTCGCTCTCTACTTCCAAATCGTAATATAACAACTAAGTTTTCCACATAGCAACCGCAATCAGCAAACTATACTATAGCACAGCTCTATCATACCCAATACAACTTACAAATTCTATCTAGTGTAAAAAAATTGACACTTAAGTTTTGAGACATCCCGATATCGTGATTTGAGTTCAAAGTCAACAGCAACAACCTGATAGTCTATTTTATGCAATGATACCCTCGCTCCATCACATTTCTTAGCATTCAGATATATTTGAATCAGGAGTAAAACGACACTTGCCATCCAGAGTGCTGAACCTACTTATAACAGTCCATACTTATTAGTCTTCATCCTTGACGACATGAAAAAAATAACAAAGTTAAGTTCCAAAAAATTCAATACAATGACAAAAGAAGAATAGTGAGAATTGATATTTACTTCTCTCGGGTGAATGTGGAAGGATATGGGCACCATTTTGCCAGAACAAGATCCAGCTCGTAGACTGCTCGGATACAGTAGCACATGTTCATAAACTGGGATAGAGAACAATCAAACACTCCGCTGTAATACGTCAATCCAGCCCAATATGCAGGTCTGTTAACTTTGGCAGCTTCATTGTGTTCCTCATTACGAATTCTCCACCTGGATATTGGTCAGGTCGGCAGTCTGTCAAAGCTGCAAAATTGCCTACCTCGAAATGATTCTCTATAACATCTTATCTACCCCCAAGGGGTCTAACGTTGAAACAGTAGGTTGAACCCATCGTAAATAAACTGACTAGCTTAGTCCCATCCTCCAGGACTTGTAAATCTCCAACGCCACTGTACGACAGATAACGTAACAACGTAATGTAAATAACAATCACAAGTATCTAATCCAAAAAATCCCTCACTGCTTTGCCAGAAGAACTTTGAGAAAGTCGACGATCAAGCTTTTCAACAGATCTTATGCAGAACAAGCCCATTCGACGGTGACACCTCATAAGCAGATTATGGTCATGGCAAAGTTTATGCTTGTAGTAGCTTCCTTGGTGATGGCGAATGTGGCGAAACAACGGCCTGCACTACCGCCACAAGAGACCTCGATTGTTAGCTAGATGGGTGCATTTGGAAAATACAAGACCGAATACATTCGACAATCGCCTGAAATCAAATGTCAATACGAGCTCGATCTCTGAATTCAGGCAGTAGAGACGAGAACATCAGATATGATAGAAAAGACCTAGTTGACACAAGAAACAGGCAAGCATGTCGAAACCGCCTTCAATTGGACTTTTGCACTTCAAAGCTCCTAACCTACTGGTCTAGGAAAAAATACAATTATTGATTTAGAAAACATTGGAAGAAACAATTATATTTCTATTTCTCAAACAGTTAACAGCCACCATGCAACGAAGCACAATTCTCTGGTGCTTCGTTAGTCAATCACGAGAAGGACCTGCACTGCACGCAAGCTGTGCAATCCTGTCCTGTGTGGGAAGAAAATTTTGTTTTACTTCTTTTGTACTTTTCACTATTCAGTATTTTTTGATGAAGTTAAGCAGATAGTTCGGGCTAGTTACATGCGGCAAGACGTCTTTGATGAAGTCTCTAAAATTAGCTATGTTGTGGCTACCTGGCAAGATACAGTTAGACTGTGGAGTAAAATTGACTATTAGATCTTGAGTGCGAAAGGGTTTAGGGTGTTGAAGATGACAACGAAAAGTGGACGAAGACTCAAACCTTTTTGAGGGATGGCTGAAGTATTATACAGTATCACATCTAGCGCCGGTCTTGTTAAATTGCATCATACTCCTTCCCGTAGTGATCCTCGAGTTGTACTACAACAATTCTCATCTGCGCAAGTAAATATGACCATATTTAAGTGACAGGGCGGATCCTCTATGTAGCTGTACCGTCAGCGATGATGATTTATTCCACCCGTGAAGTGGGTACAATTCACATGCTAAATTGTAACGTGTAAGAGAACATTTGGCATAGATTAAATCACCTATAGAACCCATTTCCACACCACCTGATATGTTTTTCCGTATCAGTCAATGACATGAAGTACAATTGAAATATAACATGCAGTATCGAGAAGAATGAATCGACAGGTAACAAGCTTGTAGACAGACCTAAGATAGACCATGAACAACCTCCCAAGAACAAGGCTTATAACGATGGTGCTTCTTGGTCACAAGGATTCTGTTTTATCCTTTTTTGAATCTCCTCATCCGTAAGCTCCTGCAGGAAAAAAAAGAACATGATTATTTGTTCTTTCTTGCAAGTTGTGAAGCTTCGTATGTCCACAACATATTTCTCCTTACATACAAACCGATAAACTGTTTTTATATAATCTATCAAGAAAATTTGTTTTCCATGGGGTATCTTGTGCGAAAGGACTTAGCAGTGCAAAAGTGAAGGTCTCTCGTGCGGTTCGAGAGAACTGAAGATACAAACAATGACGTTATTGAAAAAAATCAAGTCTCTCCCGTGTCTCTCCCGTGTCATCAAGTCTTGATTTTCCCTCCTGACCTACAGGTTTCTCCAGTTCCATCCAAATAAACAAATCCCTACCTTATTCATCCGTTTTCTCTTGAAATGCTTTTCTTAGCAAAAATGCAAATGCTATGTATGTAAAACGCTCACCGACTGTCACCAGATTAGCAATGCCAGACATCACAATGCCGCTGGGAAACATTGATAACATGCGTTAAACCTTGAGAAAAAAACGAAGTAACACACTGACATCCTTCGCCATACTCCGCATATCTACCCGAGTACCTGACTGATGTTTCACGAAAAGTTTACCGACAAGATGTTTACCAGATTTGGGTGCAGTTTAAAAATAAAATCGGAAAACCTAAAGAACTACATTATTCAACTTTGAACTCTTGTTCAACTATCAAAGTCTTAAGGAAGGCGAAATGACACGCAGACAGAAAGCCGTCGGCCGATGCTTATGTCAGCCATGATTTCGAGACAATAACACCAGACAGCTCTACAATCGCAAAAGGAAGTGCAAGTTCGTGTATTTGCACCGGTTTAATCAGAGTTGGTAACCGTACATCCCACTTGGTGCGCATGGATGTCTCTCATGGATGTCTCATGGAAGGCTATTTAATATGCACCAAGATGCTTACCTTGTGCCCAAACTCACTAATATTAGTGCAGCCGGCCCTGCTTAATACTGAGATATGCTGGCTTTCAATAAAGTACATCGAGAAGGTCTCTTTGGCTTATTAGTTTTGGACTGACAAATTTTTGCAATATAGCTTCGAGAATAGTAGAATTGGATCCCAGATTCACTCGACCCCCGAGAACATATTTCATTGGTACCTGAGGTACGGCGCAGTCTGCATGCCGAGGGTCCCACACAAGAGCGCATGAGCACTCCCACGCATCATTATGTTTGACCTCTAATGGGGCTCTGCGAAACAAGAACATAAAATATCTCAGTGCTGTCCTTATAAATTGTGATGAAAATCAATTTACTCCAAATAAAGTTACATAAACTTTCGGTCAAATACCTTCGCCACTTGCCACAGATGATATCTTTATCAGCCTTTCTACCATCTGGGCAAGTTTCTCCTTCCTCCCACAGGACAATCATACACTGAAGCCAGTTCTCTTTGGAATTTGGCGGTAGCTTAGTGGCAGGAAGCCATCCTTTCGGCCAGATATTCTGGTTGTCAGCTTTCAAATTAGTGTAAGCAAGTGTAAGCAGAACAAGAAACATTAATAACTCTACAACCAAAATAGAGTCCAAGAAAAAGATTGAGAACAATCACGAGATCTTACTTTCAAAAGATTATATTCAGCAATCTCCTGTTCCCGCTGCTTTTCTTGACCGGTTAAGACAACCTCCTGTCCAAAAACGTGGGATGCTTCTGCACTGAAGTGTCAAGCGATAGAATCAGATCAAGTTACGAAAGAGACAGTAAGGGAAGGAAGAGAGCAACAAAGATGACAATGATAAAAGCGAAAATGAAAAGCATTCCCGTCATTAGGTATTGTGAAGCCAGTATCCATGAGCTGAAATTAGTAGCAACACCTCTTTTAAGAAGACTGACGGTGTTGTAGCGGTAATATCTGCCGCAATTGGTAAAAACAAAGTGGACCGTGCCCACCGTCTCACCAAAGTACACAAGGATTTAACCATTCACACTGGTTATTATCATTTGACTTCTTTTAAGACTACACTGGGAGCAAGTTGGAGGAACAAAACCAAAAAATAAAATCCCAGCAGGAAGGAATTTGGTCTATCTTGTAAACGTGAAGAACGTGTTGTAAAGCAAAGTTGTTGGTTGAAATTCCTGCCTACATAGGATTTTGCCAACAAATCACATCGTGACAAAACTGATCCCTTAACGAGCACGAACTTCGGCTATTTATCAACGAGTAGAAGGATGATGATCAAGATACAACTATAAGTCAACATGCCCAAGGGAGAGAATCTAACTTGAAATCTATCCTCTAGGTTCGATGAATCTATCGTAATATCAATGGACGACAGTAGCAATATGCAACTAGCACACGGTCAACCGTAAGAAGCACACTAGCAAGAAGATGGAAGACATTGCATCCTAAACTCGAGCCACGGAGTTGAACATCTTACAAGCTGTTAATTCTTCTCGGTAAATGCAGCGGAGCTCAGGGAGCATCACTAATTGCTGTATGGCAAATATCAGTTTGCAATGACAGCGGACTCCGAGACGCTCTCGTTGTGTATGATCTGCCGAACCCTCGCGACATACGACTGAAGCAATATGTACGCTATACAGAACAGTTCTAGGCAAAGCTACAGAGAGAGTAATTGGTAGCTCTAGTTGATTGTGATGCCCGTGTGCTGTATATGTTTAAGAGGTTGCTGCCCAAATCTTCACTTCAATTGGAACTCGCTAGACAGAGATAAATACTTACAGAGTATCGTCTAGATCTACCTCCTCCTCAATTCCAACCCAATCAGGCACCACGGCCTGGTACTTGGGTCCAATGCGAACCTTCGTCCTCTTCCCATTGCTCATTTTCATCAGCTCCCTCTCGACTTTGCCAATCCCGGCATCCTCCCTCCACCAACCCTTGTTTTCCCCTCCAGGCTCTGAATCACCGCATGCTTCTCTGTGTTTCTTCATCTTCTTACAAGGGCGGCAGTACCATTCGTCAACTCGGGGCACAATTTTCATTCGAGAGTTCACACAAGTCATATGGAAGACTTGGTCGCACTCGTCACATATGAGAGAACTATTAGCATCTTCACGCTCTCCACATACCTTACAAAACTGTACAGAAGCCGAATCCCCCACGGTTCCAGGATGAGGTGCTGGAGGGCGATTGTCAATGGCATATCTGTATAAACCCCCAACACAGCCTGCAAACCCTGTATGGGTATTATGTGTGGTCGTGTCCTCAACATTGTCACCATGATGCTGAGCTAGCCACTCTCTCCTTTTAGGACCATGAGCTTCAGGCAAAACCTCCACGGATTTAGGAAGCGAGGATATGCACTGGTCCACTGTCTCTCGATCTACGGAAAATCCTCGTGATCCACCAACACTAGAGGAATCACTTCGGTGGCAGACATCAGTACTTTCCTTCAAAATCTCCACTGAACCATTCTTGGAGATGGAGTCTCCTGAATTCGCCGTATCTTTCGCTACGTCGGGACTAACGATGCATTTTTGGGCAGGACTCTTTGACAGTGAGACCTCTTCATCTGTGTCAGGAGGTGCACATAGAACTTCAGGACCGTCACTTTTTATTAACTGAGACTGTCCATTGGCCTCATCCCCGCCATGCACGGGTGATTTCGTCTCCGATGATGACTTAATATCTTTGACAAGAGAAACATCCACAGGTGTAGTCAAACGTCGCCGTTTGAACTTTTGGACAGTATCGGTGTCAATAAGGGATCTCAAACCATGTGTGCCCAGATTTGATGGCATCTTTGTATCCAAATCTTCGACTGTTCCCGAAAGGTCCTCTAGACTGAGGGCGTGGGCTTGCTCAGGTGAGTCCTTTAGATGGTCTTGTCCGTCCGAACCCTCCTTATCTTCTTTTTCTCCTGTTCCTAACATGTGACCTGCTCCATCTTTAACTGATGGCTTCAGCATTTCTAACCCTGATACCGTTTCCAACATTTCTTGCACCTCCGAAGCACTTTCTGAGACAGCATCTAGACCTCCATCAAAAATGTCGTTGGCAACTGGTAATTCAACAAAGACATCAGCATCTGAGTGTGCCAAGTTTTGTTGGCATAGCAAATCATGACTCACCATTCCGTTGAGCTCAAACCCATCACTAAACGATATCTCAGGTGAAATGTCTACTTCTAAAGAACAGCTGCTGCAAGTTTTAACGGGTTTCTTCTGCGCCTTGTAAAAGTCAAGCTCCGCTTGATCTTTGCAAGGAGAATACGGTAACACTAAATGAAGAACTATCTCCTCGGAATCTATCCGGGACTCTTTGCTATCACTACTAACTTCCTCTTTGTCTACTAGACTATTACCGCGCACGTCAACTGAAACAGTACCTGTCGTTTCTGATAAAAGAGGTCCTAATTGACACCACTCCTTAGATTTGAGTGGTCCAAGTTTCTCGCAAGAGTTGGTGACAAACTGGCGGGCAGAATTCTCCCACCTGTTGCCACTACTCACAGGAACTTCCAAGCTTTGGAGCCCACAGTGACAGTTGGCCAATCCTTCGCAGCCCAAGATCATGGTGTGGTGCACATTTGGGCATACATAACTTCCAACCACCCCTTCATCGTCACGAATGCCAGCTTCCGAAGCATCAATATCGGTTTTTAAGGAAATTCGGCAAATTGCTGAGGAATTGACCTCCCTTAATCCTTCTGACGCCCGTTGTACATGAGCAGCAGTGGTCGACTTCCCGGAGACTGCAACTATCCAATGACAGAATCAGTTTGATATCAACATGAAACTACATGCACTCTGAGAAGGTAAAGCTTGTAGCTGAGAGGGTTGAACGTAGTAAGGAGGTAAATATCGAACCTACGCATAAGTATAACTAACCACTTATGGAAGTAAAACTTAAGAGATTTTTCTGATTTCCACACCAATACTTGAGAGTGGGGTTTGAGAGATAGTCTAGTCAATACTGTCATCTCTGACTCAACGAAGAGAATAAGATAAAAGTAGCAGGACTCCTAGTCGAGCACAGTAGCGGATGCGTGCAAGCGGAGAAGAAAAGACCAATGACCTCAAGAGATCAGCGTGGGAAAAATGTGTGAAGCTTAAGTCTAAACTTGAGTACCTTGCTCTACTCATGCACGAGAGATCCGCATGGACTAGAGAGAACACAGAGGAATCATCCGAGCGAATAAATAAGAATAGTGTCCTTCACCACGTTCAGCTAACGGTTTGTGGTGATATGACAAGTGCAACCAACAGATAAAGGATGGAAACAATAAAGGCAGTAATAATAAGCAAACGGCAAAGCTAACCACTTGCCCCCAATCTCCACTAGGCAGAACCGACCTTGATCTGAAATATCATTGTCTGGAGCTTTGACCACTTCTTCCCGTTTCCTGGCTCAAAATACGGAGAGAAACGGTGGCATGTTTGCACTAGATGGCCAGACTACACTTTCTAGTATTATTTCTGATAGTATCTTAACGAAGATCATACAGATTGCCCGAAGTAGTAAAACCAGGGTAAGCAAAAGAGGAAGCTTACTAACTTGGACCTCTCTGAGCAAACCTACTTACTGGGACAAGCTTTCCACGAACTTCCAGTAGTGTACGCGAAATGTAAGAGAATCCTCTTCTACTTAGCTAGCAAGGCGATGGACGAAGGACGAGGGACGAGGGACGAGGGACCCATCAGATAGGTTGCTGCAAAAGCCCAACCAACAAACCTTCATCAGCCCGAACACCTAAGATCGCTTCCTTGAGATTCTCGGTGGTACACCTAACAACAAATCAGTTTCAAGACCTTCATAGAAGTTGCATCGTGATACTAAGCGATACATCTCTCCTCAAAGCACTATATGGTTTTGGAAGCAAGGATGTAACAAAGAAGATGAGCATATTTTCTAGTTCACGAAGAGCATAAAACCGTCCTCATTAGTAGGATTTTCAGCGTGAAGATCATGGACTCCGAAGCCCTGGCTAAAGAATGCCTGGGATGAATGTAAAGCTCGTCGCTATTAGATGTGTCTTTAATAGAATAAAGAACATGATATCAAGATTGACGATTGATAGGTTAAGCGAATCTAAGTTGATGATTGCATGTATGAGGTCAGACGATTCTAAACCTTGCACATTTAAACCATTAAAAAATAACATGATTAAAAGCAAAGGGTTTAATGTGCGCAAGGAGATCGAGAAGCACAGTATGTCCCGGGAGGTACAACCAAAGGGGCTCTATCTCAGGCATAGCCCGATGCATTGGAATTATCAAGAAAGAACAAGCCCGAAAATTGGCAACGAAATATGGTAAATAATACATAGCATATACAGTATGAAGGAGTAGACAGATAAACTAATGATTCATGGACACAACTGAAACAATAAAAGAGTTGCAAAAAAGGGTGAAGCAGACAGCAGCAACCCAAGGGATGATATGCACAAATAGAAGGCAAAGTGAGTAAAAAATGGTTACAAGAATAAATGAGGCCGTAAACACTGACATGACAGAACAATGTGCAGTTTGTTCCTCGAATTCGATGCAGGGAAAGTAATCAAAGACCGTCAACTAGTTCTAACGAACGCACATGATTCTGCGACACAAGACCCAGGCTGCTTCATTGTGTTCCTTCTATCCCGTTGCTTGAACATATAAAGGTGCACAAAATGAACAGGACGACCAAACCTAAGGCCAAACCCTTAGAAGCAAGTTGACCGGTCTTGATATTCATACACAGATTACATACACAGATTTAGAAGCAAAGTTTAGAAGAAAAGAAAGAGCAACTACGAACATATTCATATAACAAAAATAACAAATTAATAACATATTAATATAACAAAAAGATATTGGTGTATAGAGAGAGAAACTATATTAGTTTGAACTATATATCAACAGAAACATTGCTAAACAGAACATACAATAATGTTTAGAACAATTACAAAGAATTTCACAAAGCGATAGGGCTTGTAAAGAGCACAGACATTTTTCAACTATTTCTATGTCAGATGTTTCCAATGAACAAGGTTAGCCACCACCATTTCGAAGTAGCTACTGACAGAAACTCAGTTCACCTAGTAATATAAGCAATATACATGCCTCTTAGGAAATAATGGAAAGATAGACAGAAAACCATGCCATCTGGGAATGTAGTATTTGTATCGTACAGGAGAATAAACATTATCTCTTCGTTGTTTAGATTTCAAATCGACTATGTGTGTCCTACGAGTACAAAAATTAAGTCTTTTGTTTCCGATTGTATACAAAGTAAGTTAATAAAATCCATTAGTGATAAAAAGGCCTATCAAAGGATACAAGCAAACATCAACAAGACAATCAAAAAGACCACCCAAACTTCACAGAGAAGACAAACCGCTACAATTTATTCATGAGATCTATCTTCAAATCCAAAATCAAATTCAAAGAGATGAATACAAGAAACTACAAAAACAGAATACTAGAAAATAACAAGAGTTAACACGAGATCTTCACCACAAAAACACAACAAAACGATAGGCAATCTGTCACTTATTAGTACAAGCAAGAGCTCTGGCACAAGCATCTCCTTTTGCTCCATCCAACCTTCATGGTGAGAATGCTTCATATACTACCATCTCCACAAATTTAATAGAGGTGAATACAAAGAGCTAAAAAAAGGTTCGAAGAAGTAAAAGAGTGTCCAGTAATATGAACAACCCTTGCAGTAACACCAGTTAGCCACAAAGAAAGAAGAAATAGAAGTGTGGTGCCAAACCGTCCCTTCTACGTATCCTCAATTGTTGTCATATTCAAACAAGTCCCACGCCATTCTGCTGACCCATATCGATGTCTTATCAAGTGGAAGGATCTCCTGTAAACTCCAACATGGATACTTCCATCGATGGGAAAAGAGCAAGATTAGATACTGGTTCAACTTTTGCTTATCAGATATTCACGTCTACCAAATTTCAAACTTTGAGAACATCCGGTTTGTTTTAGCGAGGATAGTGGAACTAGGCGAAACAGAGTACCTTTGACAAAGCAATTTCGGTTGAGAATGGTTGACTTGATGAGGGAAGTGAGGTTCATTCCACACTGAATAATCGCTAAACTTCATACTGCTCCAAATAACGTGAGTTGACATTAAGCTTCCACAGGTTACATGCAGTGAAGTCCAGAAAAGTAGGGATATACAATAGCAGGTGATAAATCGTACAGTTTTATCAGTTGCATAGTGACAAGTAAGGAAAGATCAAATCAACGATGAATATAGAGTCAGCAAATGAGACATACAAAAGTAGGAGCATTTAACAAAACAAGAACCTGCAAAATTAACCTTCAGTTGAATGGATGCGGCCATCATAGTCTGAGGTACTGTGCCATCACCTAAACAGTGTGATAAACAATCGGTTTACATAGAGTTCTGTTCGCACAGTATAATCGTACAATTTAATTCGTTTGGGGTAAATTCAACCTGATGACTAGCAAAGACCAACGAGTGTTAAGAACTGGCAATCTTTAATTTCTTCTTCAACATAAACCTCCATCTTAGCTAAGATTGTCAGGAACATCAAACCCTGACACGAAAGGAGAAGACAAGAAACACAACTTAAGCATTGGTTCCACATTTAATAACTGATAAAAATCAATTGATTTAGTCAACTAATAAAAATCATTTACTAGTTCAAAATCAGAATCATTTTTCAAAAACATCTTTCCATACGATAATCTGTAGTAATCATGATCCATTAGCTGTCGAAACATCCGGTCTCGAAATCTGATTAGATCTGCTCGAGATCTGTAGAAATCATAGTGCACTAGCTGGTGCACTATGATTTCCAAAAATGAAACCCAAAGATGGAGTTCTTCATCAAGATATTTACCTCTTTCATCCTCCTTTGGTCGTTCGACTCTCCTACAGATATTTACTAAACATTCAACCAAGCTGCATGGTCGAAAACTAAAGAAACTAACAGCATATGTCTCCCACATGGAAAGATAAGGAGAAAAGAAGATGCAGAGACTTCGACTTCCAACTTCCAAGATGGAAGAGACAGATAACAGTGCAACCTAGCCGAGAGGCAAGGCACGCAGAATAACACTATCAGTGGAAAGGAGTAACATCTTGAGCTGTAAAAAAGCGAATTAGTCACATATAGACCTGTAAAGAAGCTGAAATAGCGCGAAATTCTAGACAAGTCAGATACCGCTGGATACAAGAACTTAGATCTACTCTAGAGGACCGCAAGATATATCTTCATCGACAATCTAGAGTGTCAACATTTTTTCAATATCTTTCAGGTGGAGAGCGTTGCACCAATAATTCAGATTAAAATCTAGACATAGCAACGTTAGTTGGTATATCTAGCTTGGTGCTTGATAAAAGCTTAAGTACTAAATCCTAAACCCATCATCAACGATTGACCAGCTCGGCAAGGCGTCCTAAACTGACTTTTCTTGTTATTTATGACCAGTATTTATGGACTAATGCACATTTCAAGGAATGGATCATATCGTTTAATGCGAAGCGAAAGGTGAATGCTCTCCAAGCCAAAAATTCTTGCATTTCCACCCTTGTAAGTTACTTCGCAATAGAAATACAGCTACGTGCGCTATAAGATGACTAGAAGTACACTTGCATCTTAGAAATCCAACGCGGCTATAAATTCCCCGTGATCCTTTTCATAATAAGGGCTTGGAAAATTTTGTTGTGTTAAAGGACAACATGGAAGTATGTTCTATTAACCACTGGCCCAATTCAACATATAAAAATAGATGGAATGGAGATATAGATGACCGATTGGAGTGAATTAACCAAGATTGATAATAGAGAAGCAGATATTACAATTGACTTGTCTCCAGTAATAGAACCAAATTTCTGACCTCCATCCAGGTACTTGTAAACTTAAACGTTTTTTTCAAAAATCGGAGAGTACATGCCCAGCATATTGGGACACCAGGTCATCTTAGTGGTTTAATTTTGTAGATAATAAATTTGTTATGGTAAGTAGGTGTTTCCTAAAAAAGGGCACATTATTTATCAAAAGCACGAAAGTTGAGAACTTAAATCTTAGTCTTCTTCTGTTCATCTCCGGTTCTCTCATTTAATCATAAGTGCGAAAGTATAGTGAAATGGCGTCCTCCTACAGTCCTTTACCAGTTTTAAAACATACCAAGTGAAAACAAACCCAGCTGGCTACTGTTCTTCTCGACTTTTCCCGGTTAATAAAATACCAACAGGAAATACCAATAAAACCAAAAGATTCAGTACACCATGTAACTCAAGACCAGGCAGTCTAAATGAATTAAAATAACAAAAGGTCGAAAAGATATTGTGATTAAACTTTCTGTTCAACAAATTATGAGGATCGCTGCATGTACACTGAGCTTAGAATGTGATGTATTATCCACCATCTAGAGCGACTCAAGCTAGCTAGGTGATAGCTGGAATAAATATTTAAAAGTGCTATGTCTGGTCAGTCTTCTCAGATAGAATCCTTGACCAGCTTCAGATGGTAATTCAATGACTATGGAGAAGAGGGTTAGTTAATAGGATGCAACCCAGTATAAATTTACAACGAACCTACGAAATGAGTTTGAAAAGATATGGGTGCAGGTAACTAAAACTAAACAAGACGGAACAAGCAGCTACGTGAAACACGAACACACTGATTTGACCATCAGACAATGTGAGAAGTCTGAAGTTGAACTATAAAAAAGACGAAGGCGAATTTACAGTTTGGTAATTCGCCTGACTACGATTCCCACGAGATTCAGATTTTGAGATCTCAAATCATATCGATGGGTGCTCAGCTATGCATAGAAAGTAATGCACATGTCTGCATTGTAGTGGATAGCTGAGAATCTACTGTCAAAGCACGGGTAATGCTACGGATTGCTATACTCCAAAGATGTAAGATAAAAAGATACACAGATACAAAGCATAAAAGTCGGGTGCGTTAAAATTAAACACCAAATTTTGCCTTGTCTGGAACAATCAGAGCTGTTCCGAATAAGGTCGAGAACAATCAAAACCCTAATAAGAGGTAGAATCCACAGCAGACCAACCGGAATATAGTAAATTTCAACTCAAAGGTTGATCGACTGCATCGGGGAGGAAAAACTAGTCCAAGGTCGGAAGGTGACGAGCACAATGACAACTCAAAGAGAGAAACAAAAGACTTCAGAAGTATGAAAGAGCCCCTCGCAAGGTGGTATACGTTCTTAAAAGAAACATGCTGGTGCACTCAGAGTAGAGCGCGTACCGAACGACTGATCTGAGACAGGGGAAGAGCTGGAAGAAGAGTCACGGGCAGGCGCAGCAGATCGCCCGTTGTAAAGGAACAGCTCCCAATCTGGTCCTAGAAGTGATATGTTTCTGGATTATCTGTCTGTCTTTGACTGGAAGTAGTTCTCGGGGACCTCAGTAGTAGGCAAAGTAGTAGTAGTAGTTTACAAGACGACCTGAAACGGGAACGTGGCAGAGCCAGTCAATAACCAATCCCACGTTTGTCTCCCACCTGATTCGTTCCTTTGCTTTCTACGTTCTACTTCGCCTTAAAAACGATGATTCACTTCTGCCGCATAAACAAAATCATATGTCAACCGGCTCGACTCACTCGAAGTATTTCGTGTACACTGCCACATTGGCTAAATGCACACTTTTGCCCTCTCGTCCTGCCAGCTATGCTATACATGAACAAACGTTCGTTCTATCTCTACGACCTTCTCTCCCATCCGTCCTCCAAACAAATCCATACAGCAGCAGCCAGCCTTTCTTTACCAAACCTTTTCCTGCTCTCTATCGCGAGCGAACGCTACTAACCTCCCCGACTCTACTCTAGTCCAGTCCAGTCCAGTCCAGTCCCGTCCGTTTACTACTACTACTTTCTTTCTTCCCCTACAATAAGAGTAAAGATGAACTCCAATCCTCATCGCAAAAGTCTAGTTTATGTGCGTCTACACTTTGTACACTTCTACTTGTACACTCTAATCCGCCTGCATTCGCGATCTATCCAATTCCTCCCTCTCTTGACCCCCAAGCAGAAGAATTGGAACCTCCGTCTCATCTCTCCCCTTTCCGTCCGCTACTATTCTTTTCCCCCCTTTACACTGACACACAATCTCCCTCCCATCGTACGCCACTGTAGTCGAGCAAACGCTCTACAAGCCAAAGCGCACCCATTCCAAACCCAAAGCTTAACTCAATTCCCTCCCCAGTGTCGGGAGAACGGGAGGAAAGACAAAGTGGGTCGCGAACCGTTTTTGCTACTTTCTCTCTTCCTGTTTTCTTTGGCAAATGGCAAATCCAAACAAACGCCTCCTCACTGACTCGCAAAAATGCCAACGGTGATAACCGGTACTGCCTTCTTTGTATTTTCTCCGCGCTCACACTATGATCATGACCTTGACCTGGCAATGAAATCAGAGGGGGGCGTCCCTTTACCCTAATTCATCAACCCCAATCTAAACGTCTGTCTTGACCTAGCGTCGACATTTTGCCCCACCTCAAAATCACCGATAATTATGTGCCACCTAACCAATCTCTTCTTGACTTGTTTATACCTTGTTGAATCAAAACGGCATTCTTTAAGATAAGACTCTTAAAGTCTTTTGTTGTACTTAGGGGCACAGTTTGATTCTCGGTAAAGTAACGGCACTTTGTATTTTCGTCAACTTTTCATGACTAGCCATCGTTAATTAACCTGGTCAGTCTCTGGATGAATATATTGTGAAGGTGAAACTGAAACCATATTTCGATGGCCTTGCGTTCCACAATGAGGAAGTTTCTGCATTCTGCTTCTATTCATTTTGAGAGACTAAACTGTAAGTCGCTTTCTTAAACTACACAAATCCGACGTTGAACGAAACTTCAAGTACTGTAGTGCTTCTCTTCCATTCCTTCCTGGAGTGAAACGTGCCACTTTCTTTACACTGAAGAAACTTCTGCATTCGTTGAAGCCTTACGAAAGCCCAGGGTGCATGATCATATTGTTATGAAACTTTCTCCTGTTCTACCACACAATAGCTACGGAGTTTTGAGCGGCGTGTATCGACCTAGGTCAAGCTGACTTAAGCTCAGAACCATTGGATACATATGATGTAACCGCAAAGTGCAGGAAGGGAGTGAACTGAGTAAGTATGTCCTCAACACGACTTCCAGTGACCCGAATCAACGAACAATGTTCCGTACAACACTGTTCAGAAACAGGATCTTCGGATGATCCCCTTTGTACGTAGTTTGAAGTCCGACCCACTGCCCTAATTGTTCTCATGCTGTTCAGAACTCCTGCAGTGGAGGTTTCCTCATGCATGAGCTTCTCATTGGCCAGGAGCCTAACGTGATGCTCTGACTCCGAAGTCCCAGTGAACCGTGCTAATTACGATAACCCTTGTTGTCTATAGCCGTGATTGGGATCAGAGCCCGCTATGTCCAAACCCGTTGTGACCACGAGACAGACAAACAGGCAGACCCACGGATTGATTGTCTTGTGACGGCTGTGATTGCAAATGTGAGATTTGCCACTCCCTTGAACTCTAAAATGTAGCTTCCTAACATTTGAACGGTGACCACATGCTTGCTGGTGGAATCGCATTTTCTTCACATCACTGTATGGGTTCCAAGCAAATATGTGAACAAGTATATGAGCACCCCGGTACTACATGTTTTCTGTTGCAATTCTGTCAAGTTTGTTGGTCCCTACTCCACGGGGTGGTTGTGAAAAGTTCTGGTCATATCATTGGGATGTGCTACATCCAAGTTTTGCAAAGCAACTTACCGGTGTATGGCGCGAGAGGAGAAGTTTGGAATCATATGACTTCCGTAGAAGGGGGAGATCAACTTCTTAAAACCCAAAATAATAAAAACCCATCGAGAGTTAAACAGAAGAAACCAAGAGGATAGGATGGGACTCGGAACCATAGCATCGCAATGTGATATGAGATCTCCAAATTATATAACTGACAAGGTCTTCATCTTACAAATATCATCCACAAAATTGCCTTCGGTTATTGTTCCCTATGTATCGATGACGGGTATTCTCTATATATATGGCTGTTTGGAGAAATATGCCTGAAATTAACTATTCAATACTATGTATAGTGATGTGTAATACCTTATAACCAAGTAATAAATTCTCAATCAATCTATACAATTCATGTGGTATTCTATAAATCTTAAGTAACAATGAGGTGCTATTTATCCTATTTTAAAACACAATATTATTCTATGATTATACCAGGTATCCTTTTGCCCTAACTTGGATAAGCATATCAACACATATTATATTTATATTCTTGTGACTAAGATCTTGAATGATAACATAGAGAAATATATGTAGCTATATCCACACAAAAATTTAAAAAATCAACTCATACTATAATTATTTAGTGTATCCCCATATTCACAATTTACAAATTGTTTATGCAGATGTATGTACCAAGGTAAGTAAAGGAGCTTGTTAGAGTTCAAAATTTGATGCACAATGCATTCAAATTTCAAACAGCACAAATTAGTTCTAGTATCATGATATATTATCACATCCATTCAATAAAACAATATATAATAAACTCTTATTATTAAAAATAATAATATATTGATTTATTCCAACATATTATCAAAGCTCCTAATAAAAAGCATATATTGGTTGTCTTAATCATACTAGCGAAATATATCAACAATTCAATAAAAATGTATCTATATCTATATATTTTTATAGATATATAAAAAAAATCAATTTGCTGGTGATATACATCATGATATCGCCAAGCTTTAACTTCTATTAGCTTAATCTTGATTGATTAAATTAGTTAGTCTCTCAATATGTAAGAAAATGCTTTCAATAAAACAAAATAATAAAACATGCAATATCATGTGAGTGATGAATCACATATTTTATGATAATCTCCTCTTCTCATGTGCTTTTCTTTGTCTATTGTGTAAAATTATGTTTTGGATTTTAGCAATCGATGTCAAAGGTTAATCAAATTGTCACAATAAATTTGACAAAGATGAACTTATGAAATGAAATCAAGAGCATATGGAAATGGAAGTTGTGAGCCTCACCAGCCTTCTACATCAAGCACCACAGACAAATAAACAAGAAAAGAGTTCCCAAAAAATGAAAAAAAAATAGCCAAGCTTCAATAAAAATTGCCCTCTAGAAAGTCAAAATTGATTGATGGGCAAATTGTTAACTTTTTAACATCAAGAGAGTCGTAAAAATTGCTAATTCAAGCCAAACAACAAACATTGTTTGGAAACAAGGAGTATTATTTATCAAATAATTATTCTTCAGCTGACAAAAAAAGTATGGTTCTTTTTGCTGTTTATAACATAAAATTAACTATTATCTAGAATATCATAATATTAGTCAAATAAATTTCTTTTTGCATCAACAATGCCAAATATAATGTCCAAAGTTTGACAATATAAGATGATTCTCACAAAGTTATGAAGAGCAAAATATGATATAATCAAATATGATAAACTGATTAAATTTTGCTTTGAAAAAATTTAACTCAAAGATAAGATGAAGACTATGAAATTGTGAATTTACTTCTATATTAAATTTAAAATCTTTGAAAGGATAAGATTAGATATGAATGATGATGATTGTGTATTATTTGAGAATTTAGAACCATAATTTTAATGCATAAAATTGTCAAAAACATTGTATGTTTCTTTACAGCTTGTGAGCTTCAAAAAATATTTCTTACAAAGAACTTAAATCACATCAATGATTTTAATTACCTGATAATTAATCTCTAAAATATTGAATTAAGGATAAAAAATGAATGTGAAAAGTTGTATCTTAAGTTTGTTAACTACTTATTAGACATCACCTCTGTTGTTTTATTTTGATACATTAATAGTCATTAACAATAAGGTTGTAATTGATTTGTAGTTCAATGATTTACGGTGAAATATGATGTAATTATCTATTCATATTTTTCATCCTGTAAAATATTAAATGTGATTTGAAGATTTTCATATTCACATAAAAACAAGTACAAGAAGTACTTTGAATTCAAACAAAACTTTTTATGTCAAAATATAAAGTCTGATTATTTTTTATACCAAAAATCTTTTGAAATAAGATAAAAAATAATGACTTCAAGAATGCATGTCCTAAGATTTCTTTTAGCCAATGTGATTCAAAAAAGTGATCTTGAAAATGATGACTTACTCAATAATGAATCATGTAGAAAGAAGAATGACTTATACAATTCATGTCATAATATTGATGATGTCACAATTTATAACATTAACAAATGATACAACAATGAAAAAATAAGATAAAAATCTATTAATATTTTAAATTTATATATATTAAAAATGAAATGTAAAAAAACTTTAATGAAGCTCTAAATTGAAAATTATTCAAGTCAAATTTTCTTGATTTTGATTTGAAATGAGTAATATATGTCATATTGGATTAAGATACATTAGAAATAAATATTTAATAATTCTTGTTATAATTTTTTATTATTTTGAAAAGATAGTAATTGATTAAGAATTGTGTAAACATTTTATTATGAATTTAGCATTATATAAGAGTCTTTCATATAGAAATAGATAGTTTCAAAGTAGTAAGTTGATTATTAACTTAATGATGTTTACAAAAAATTTTCGAATTCTTTATTTCATTGGAAGTTATAAAATTTATTAAATAGTAAAAAACACAAAAAATTCTGTCAATTTCATTTTTCAAAAATAATACTTGTTGGAAATTCAAAATTTTTATAACTATTTAAAGTTTGAAAGGTTAAATTGAAATTTAAACTTGTCATAAACTAAAAATACTACATACAATTACTGAAGAAAGTGTTTTTTAGAAGGATTTAAAAATTTATTAGAAAAAATTGCAATGAATCTTAGTTTCATGAAGGTTTATTATTAGTAACAATTTTTTTAAGAGATTAAATTTACAATTTTGATCAATGTGCATAATATACATATGAATATTTTTTATTTTACAAATTT